TAACATAGTGAGACCTTGTCTCTACAAAAAAAAAAAAATTAGCCAGGCATGGCAGTGGTGTTCCTGTAGTCCTGGCTACTTGGGAGGCTGAGGTGGGAGGATTGCTTGAGCCCAGGAATTTGAGGTTACAGTGAACCATGATTGTGCCATTGCACTCCAGCCTGGGTGACAGAGTGAGACCCTGTCTCTAAATATTTTAAAATTTTTATTTTATTTTTAGCCCCCTCTTATTTTATTTTTAAAATATAGAGATAAGGTCTCACTATGTTGCCTGGGCTGGTCTCAAATTCTTAGGCTTAAATAATTCTTCTGCCTTGGCCTCCCAAAGTCCTGGGATTACAAGTGTGAGCAACCAGGCCCAACCAAAACAACTATTGTAAACATTATTCATATAAACATTATCTAAGTTCTATAATATTTTACCATATTTGCTTTATATGTATCATTTATGTAATTTGGAGGGCACCACATGAAGTTGCAAATGTTGAACTTTACCACTGAATATATTAACATGCATCTCTTAAAAGTAAGGGTTTTTCTTACAAAACTATAATTCTGTTATATAATTTAGCAATCTGTCCATTTTCAAATTTTTTCATTTATTTTTGTGTTTAATCTTGAAGAACAGACATGCTTGGATCTCAAAGATTCCTTGAAAGAACATGACAGATAATCTATAATTAAGAAGTTTGGATCTTTTCCTAGTCTTTAAAACAAAGTGAGAACTAAAGGGGTTTACCTTCCATCAAAGTTAAACAAATTTGTGTGTACTTCTTTCTGCCTCCCTCCTAAGAAAACACAAGATGGTAATCTCTATGTTTTATCTGGTAAGTTTTTCAGATAAAAGATTATACGTGTTTGAAATCTTAATATCCATCCCTCCTGTGGCCTCACCCCAACAACAACTAATTAACTTATTTTACATCTTGGCGATGTTAAGTTTTTCATGATCAACCCATTTTTTTTTTTGAGTTGGAGTCTCACTCTGTCGCCCAGACTGGAGTGCAGTGACCGCT